AATAGTTTTTGCTGCTTAACATTTTATACACCATGGCAAAATACCACACTTGGATACCATGATTTGATAACATGGTACTGAATAATTTCTATATGCATCTACCAAAATATTTAACAGGAGACAGGATACTCAAGTAAACTTTAGTAATATCATTATACATGTCCAAAAAAGCTTAAATTCACAGTGTTCATTAAAACTTTAGGTCCTTTTAGCCTTAAATGTGCCATCTATTTATCTAAGCTAGACTCATGTTTAAAGGGATACTCCACCCAAAAATGACAATTCTGTCATGATTGACTCATCCTCAAGTTGTTGCAACCCTGTATGAGTTTCTTACTTCTGTTGAACACAAAAGGAATCGTGTTGATGAACGATTGGAACTTTTGGCACCATTGACTTCCATAGTATTTTTTTTCTACTATGGAAGTCAATGGTGCCAAGCAACTGTTTGGTTCCAATCATTCTTTAAAATATCTTCTTTTGTGTTCATCAGAAGAAAGAAACTCATACAGGGATGCATCAACTCGAGGGTGAGTCAATCATGACAGAATTGTCATTTTTGGGTGGAGTATCCCTTTAAAAGACCATTCAAAATGTAAACAAAAAAAGTGGTAACAGCACCACAATATTTTCATACTGAATTGTGATTGATCATGTCCCTCAATCTATTTAACCATACCATCACCTTTACACTGGGAAAAAAGAGAAATTATGTTGATTCTCTTTGAGAGAATGAAAACAAATCACATGCTAATTGTCAAGCCGATGACAAAGTGGCAATAAAAGATGGCTCAACATTTCATTACACAAAATCTAGCATGCAGTAGCATAAACACTTACTGTGACTATAAAGAAACACCGTGGCCTAGAATTAAATAATTCAACTTAACAGCCTACACTAGAGTAAATCGTACCATGAAGCGTCCTTTCAGCGTAACACTTCTGATCCATGACCAGGAGCGGCTTATCCCAGACTACAGGATGATCACTCAAAACGCCTCAGTCCTAAGAGCTCTTGTTCAAAAAAGACCTTCAAAAGAATCAAAAATCAATATCGAATAATACACCAGATACAAAAAACACAAACAACAATACGCAAACATATGGACACCTGACCTGGAACACTCTCATGTGGGCTGACCGTGACACACATCGCCATGACTACATAATCCCTTCTTACTAGAAAGGAAGGTCTTTTGCCAGGGTCGCCCCAGCATGTCCATATATAGACGCAATTAGTCTTTGGGGGTATATGGAATGACCATATATGGTAAAGGAAGTCTCTTTTCAGATCAGTTCATTGAGATGTATTAGACCGTAAGGAACGATACACTATATGTGCATGCTTTCTAAAAGAGAGAGCGCAATAATAATAATTATAATAAAAATAAAAAAATCAGAGCAGTCGTTGCTACCAAAAACAGGTCACCTAGCAACACACAATTAAGGAATACCCTGCGAGCCCGCAGTGTACAGCCTGTCCATTAGCAGACGAAATTACTGGCTAAACAAACAACCATCTCCCACATGCAAATGACTTTGTTGTGCATAAGAGAAGCGCTCATATTCTGCTCGAGACCGCTTGCCCACTGGGGCTTTTCACAGATGTTTAGGACATGAGCAATGTACTCTGACTCTATCCAACCTGAAACATCTGGAGTCAGAGATGACTGGGGCACTGTAGAAATGGTTTCATTACATGGAACGAAAGCCAGCTAAACCCATTAACTCAAGTGAGACAGCAGAGGTGTAACAGAAGCAAAGGGAGGCAAAAAGACACAAAGGGAAAATGGAAGCCTTTGAAAGAGAAACTAAACGAGAGGATGCATGAGATAGCCGTGGATTAGAGACTGTCGTAAAAAGAAGAGTTAAAAGATTATGATGTTATCTGTCCTCTATTCTAGGGATGATCAACCAGTCCTCCAACAACTGACTTGCCCATAGACACAAAAAAACACATGCGCTATAATGTAGTAGATCAGCCAAGTTTTTATTTCACTGGATTATCCAAAAAATAGCTTAATAGTGGTTATCTAACATTTAACACCCCCGCCAACTCGCCAAATGCGGGTGTACTTCAGCAGTGGTTTGTAACGCAGTCACTCCTATTAGCCATTTAGACTGTTAAATTTTATATATACATATATATATATATTTATATATATATATATATGTATATACACATTTTTTCAATTGAAGTATTATAAATGTGCAATGCAGTTGTCAAAAATATAGATTTTTTGACACATAGATAGTGAAATATTTGAAACATTTCCAATATACATTTTCCACAAAGTACCGCGATACCAACTTCGCTTTCTCATCTCTCCGACAGAGTTGACGCACAAACCCGCCTCCCCTAACTCACTCGTTTCATTTGCAACATTTGAATAATGTTGGTTTTACAGGGCTTGGATTTCGGCATGGAATTCCTCATAATTTTACATAGGGATGCACCGATATGAAAATTTTGGCCGATAACGATAATTTTTTTATATTTGAAAGCCGATAACCGATATATCGGCCGATAAATCTAAATCCATTTTTTTATATATAATTTTTGAAAGCCTGATTGCAAAAACAAAAGTCTCACAATTAAAATCTGTTCCCAAACACAATTATAATGTTCTCATTATAATTTCATGTAGCTGATAAGACAGCCAATTTTGCACTTAACTATATTTTCCTTTTTGATTCCAATCATATTTCAAGCAATTAAGATCAATCATGTTGAACAGTGCGCATCTTAAGTGTCTCAGGTGTCAAGTGATGAAGTAAATAATTCATTATTTATCAGCTTTAATATATCAGCCAAATTTTATTATCGGGCCGATAACGATAACATAAAAATGAAAAAATATCGTCCGATACCAAAAATGCGTGCACATAAAGCCACCTCTCAGTACTAAATTGAGGTCTTTTATGCTGCTTATTGCACATAAACAGATGAATACACAAAAATAATGTCAAAATGCTGGTCTTGGTGAGTATACACGTAAACACAGTCAGATAAGCACATAAAAAGCATGTTTAATGGATCCGTGAATCAGGTCTTGATAAAGCAGCAGTAAAAAATCTAAATGGCAGATTTATATAATATAATACATCAGTTATATATTATATATATATATATACAACGGATGTTAATAATATAATAACATCTCCCCAGATTTTGGTCATACTGCCCAACCCTACTGAAGCTGCTTGCTAACCAGGCTGAACCAGTCAGCCTTTTATAACTGCTCATTTCTCTCCCACCCCAGAGGCTCTCCAATCATATCCATACACTCTGATTACTATCACCACAATGTGATTAGCCTGACTATGGTGATGTGTTGTTTAATTTCCTGTCGGTGTCTGACACTGCATCTCCATTTCGACTCAAAGTAAAACTCCCTGCGCTGCCTCCCCACCCCCTCAGTGCAGTCATTGGTCATCGTTCTGAAACAGCCAATGTGGGCTGGAAACCGTCTCTAACACCAGCGGCACCAGGTGGGATTCAAGAACACAGAAATATGACACCTTTACAGTCTTTAGCACTATCTGCAAAACATGCATGTGCATCAGCATCAAGTCCTGCAACAACATTTGAATGAATCCCACAAACATACTGTATATTACTGCATAGTGCAAAAAAACAAAATAGACTTCATTTTATTTTGTGACATTATTTTCATTCTAGTTCAGCAAAAAATGTAATGCATCTGAACCTTTAGTTTTTTGTAATCGAATTTGCAATAGATTCAGATTAAATGACTGTTTCACAATGTTTTTTTAAATAAACATAAAAGCAGATTGACAAATACTATCAAGTCATGAAAAAATACAATTAAAATAACGGTTTTGCAAATAATAACGGTTTTCAATAATGAAAACGCTATTTTTTGCATTATGCTAATTGCTTTGCTTAAATGTTGTGTAAATAATGTCCCTTAACTATAGATGAACTACATGTTCAGTTATTTCTCACATTGAAATTTCCGCTTCGCTCCCTTGTGCTGGTCCAGTCCATCATTCTGATCTTGCCTATATACGCCTCAAAGTGACAATTCACATCAAACATGCATCAAGTGGCTCTACCACTAACTGACAGTCTACACTTCACTCACAGTATCTTAGTCAAACAGATCAGCAGCGACGGGCAGAGAGTGACAGAGGTTTAAACTAGCAAAGACAAACCATGAGAATAAAAAATAAGACATGTCACTCCGAATTCATTTAGAGACGCCTAAAAGAGAACATCAATAACATTAAAGCAATGTAATATATAATTCCAAGCCATAAAAAAAAACAGTCTAACATTCAGCGACACCCTGAAGCTGATAATGACTAATACTGCATGAATGTGACTGACAAATAACAAAATAGGCCACTGAACCACAAGGCAACATAATGAAACAACGCTGGCACAATTACTATGTCACTCATTGTAAAAAGAAAGTCCAAAGTAAGTTTACTTTTAAATGAGCTTGTGCTAGACAAAAATACAATATTCAGTCAGTGGTATGCAGCTCTGCAATGACAAGGTTTAAAGGATGTGGGAATTGTTATTTTTTTCTAATCCTTTATGTACAAAAAAGGCTGCATCTGATCTGGAACAAAACAAAGCCAAACTAGCTACAAAAGCTTTGATCTGAAAGAATAATATGATCACAATAATATAATGATACAAGATGAGTCTTGCTCAACATTAGACAAAGGAAGGAACAGAGATGATATCTCAGTACAGGACGCTCTGGTAAAATCATTAGCAACTCAATTCACTACTTTTTCAGCAACAAAACAAACAGCACAGTTTATTCTTCAAAGGAGGTGTATCGGTGTAGCACTTCTAAAAAGTGAAGTTCAAAGGGAAAAATGTAACTTGAATCAATGAACCTACAATCATATGATTCAGACACACTCACGCTGACACAGTTAGGAGCAGAAGCACTAGAGAGGGTGGAGGAGGGGAAGATAGGAAAATGTGAAAAAGGTAATGGAAGAGGGCTTTGATTTACTTGTGTCCGGCGATGCCATAGTGGAGACAATGACCGGAGGTCCAGTACGCCGGCTGAGCTTCTGATTAGACGGACTCACACCTTGACCTGGACCGGCACTACCAACAGGTACTAGGGCTCCGTCTGAGGACACTCCAGCCCTGCGCATTACTTGTGGGCTTACATGGGGACTGGGCATGGGAGACATTGTGGCCAAGCTTCGATCCCTCTTTAACAACTCCATTGGTACAGTATAGTTGGTTGTGTATGCCTTCGGAGCTTGCTGGGGTGCCAAAGCAGGCATGGTCATTGGCAGTGCTGGCAAAGGCTGTGGCATTGCATGGATTGCCATTTGGGATGGCATTACTGGCAGATGAGATGGAATGCCTACGTGTTGGGACATTGAAGTCATATGTGACATGGACAAGCCAGTATGCGGATTGTAGCCTGATAATGGGCGAGGCTGGACTGGAACCACAGAACCACTGTATCCTCCTGCAGACCTGGCTCCAGGATACCCACTGGTCTGGTCTAGAAGTTGCTGGGAGGGAGCACTGCTGGGTCTCCGACTATAGCCCTCACCCATCCTGGCAGATACAGTCTGCATTGGGGTAGAGGGTGGCTGCATATATTGGGACTCCAAGCCTGGAGTCAAGGGTGGCGGCTGGTGCGTATAAATGTCACTACGATGGCTAAAGCTGTTGGATCTGCCACGTACTGGAGCACTGGGATGCAGGGGGGTAGCAGGAAGGGTTTCAGGTGGTCGTTTGCAACTAAGCACAACACGAGACAGAACCCTGGCTTGGCCCAAGTTGGGGGCCACCGAACGTACATCATTTTCCTCCATTACAGCCAACATTGCAGTGGAGTCAAAGCCCTGCTGCAGCAGTGAAGTGATGGTGCTGTCCGAGAGGCCCTCTTTTTGCAGCAATGCCAGAAACTCAGGGTCTGCATTTTTTTTAGGGTCTACAGGAGCCACTGGGGTCTGAGGGACAGTGGGAGGAGGAGCAGGACTTAAAGGCTGAGCAGGAAGTTGTGGTAACAGAGCAGGAGTGGTTACTGGGGCAAGGGCTGTAGAGGGAACTGGAGTGTAGACGGGATTTGGAGGTGCCATGGGTTGCACATGTGGAACTTGCTGCACTGGCTGAACCTGAGGTACCTGCTGAACTTGCTGCACTGGTTGCATTTGCTGCACTTGCTGCACTGGTTGCATTTGCTGCACTGGCTGAACCTGCTGCATTTGCTGCACTGGCTGAACCTGCTGCATTTGCTGCATTTGCTGCTGCTGTATTTGTTGTTGCATTTGTTGCTGTGCTTGCTGTTGAGCCTGTTGTTGGACTTGCTGTTGCTGCTGTATGGTGTATGGTGAGGGGTTTTCCTGATGCATGACCATACCTCGGGCAGTTCCATCCATTCCTTGAGCAGCTGGATCAACCACCAGGCAAGTGGCTGCTGGCTGATCAATCGGCCTTCCGTTAACGTCACTGTAATGGCTAGTGAGAGAGACAGGTGGCTCAGCACCGTAACGGGGAGAACTTGGCTCCATTATATAACGAGCTGGAGATGGTGCTCGGCTTGGAATGCGCTGCCCATCCTGCATCATTTTTGTGCCAGGAGTAGCAGGTGGGGGTCCAGGCAGGGATGTTTCCCTATAAATACGACCCATGTCATGAGAACTTGGAGGTGGGGGAGGAGGCATGCCAGGTGTTGGGGCAGCAGAACCAGGCCGACCTCCTGAACTCTGTTCCCACAGTTGCCGAGGACCTGCCATCATTCCATAATGTGTCGATGACCTACTGAGAGAATGAGGTTGCTCTCCACGATAGAATCCGTCTGTTGGCCGAGGTGGCATGCCTGGGTCTTGCTGATAGTAGTCATGGTGTGGCTGGGAACCACGGTTAGCCATAGAATGTCGATCATAATGGCTGTTCAACTCAGGAACGGAGCTTTTTCTTATGTTACGTGGGTCCGGACGATCCAAATAACTTTGGTTGTAAAGAGATTGCTGGTAGGAGTCTGGCTCCCTTTTCAAATCGAGGTCAGGAGGACGCACTCCAGGCGGTGGCTCGTACCATCCCCCTCCAGTATCTGCTCCATAGCTCAGCGAGTTGCGTCGACCAGCCATCCGGGCCTGCTGCTCGTAAACACTGTCACTGCGCTCCCAATGACCCTCATTCCCACCCAGCGTGTCCCAGCTCTGGGAGCGGCCAATCGGCAACTGCTTACTGGAGAGCAACATGAGGAACAGATATACCTTACTCACAGGGAAGAAAAATGAGAGAGGTTTTCCTTTAAGTTCCTAGTTGCAGGCTGATGTCAAGTGGTGAAAGGAAGGAGTATGGAAGAAAAAATTAAAAGAGAAGATATTGCTTTTCACCTGAGGTCCAGTTGTAATTTCTGTCTCCCGTCTCTATCACAGTGGCAAGGTCTGGCTATCAAATGGCTCCTCTTGCTTGGCGACCGGTGAATAATTAATCTGGGGAATACTGCTGGTGGTGATGGAAGCAGGAAAGAGGACACCAAGCGCTCTCACAAATAACATTGGTAGGTGAAGCCTGCCTGACTACTCCATTCTGGCAATGCAAAGCGACAAGCGGGAACAGACAGAGGGAAAGAAAAAGAAAGAAAACGGAGAGACAGGAAGGAAAATTTTTACAAGGGGAGGGTTGATGTGGGGGAGGCAGGGGTTTGTGATAATCCAGCGACGCTGATCCGCTCCAACTCCAACATTTTACTCATTCAGATTGCTTTGAGGGATTACAGACCAAATAAAGCCAGCTTAAATCCACTCTTCCCCCTTGTGACGTCACGTACAAACACACACAAAATGTGTCCCTGATGATAATGAACACAACGAATAAATCCTTTTGGACAGGAAGTCAGGAACCCGTGCTGCCGGAGACACACTTACCTTAAGCCAATGGTCAAGGTGGTCTGTGTTTCATTCAAAAGCCTAGCCAGCTGGCATTGAGCAGGAGGTCTTTGCTGGACGCTAAGAGGTGGACCAGTGAAACTAGTACAGATCTAATACAGCAGGGCAATATCGTGTAGCACTGTCAGGAAACGTCAAATCCTGATTGAACAGTAATCCTATGATGGACCAGCAATGCCTGCAGAGCTAAGCAAATGCAGAGATCCAGGATCACCACTCATCTATTACATTATGACCCGAGCTGAAACCAGCACAGCTATATGAACCACTGCCTGCAAATAACATGTACAGCACACCAAAAATGAGGTCATAAAGCTTATGGATCACAATACAGATGCACACACACACAAAAAAACAGCTTCATTACATCAGATCTGATGCAAATTACGATACCGCTTTCTTTGAGCATTACGTAAGCACGGCTTTTGGTAGCCCGAAATGAATTTAAATAAAAGACCAAATAAAATATATATATATATATATTTTTTTTTTTAAATGTAGAAATTTGGATAGGAATGGCGGTCTGGCGGTATTTTGGCTGAGTAGAACTGAAATACTAACATAAATTGAACTGAAATGCACCTCTTAACACATATACACACACAGTCAGCAATTTTTGCAATTTTCTCTACTATGCATCCAATCTCTATCACTTAGCACATAAAAGTAAATTATATGAGAACAACACTCATTTACAAGAGATGGCAGTAACAACTGTCAATCCCAAATGTCAGAAGAAGAGAAGGGGAGGTGGATGTATCCGGAAGAGGAGAACTAAACACACACACACAAGCCAAGCAGCATTTGCACTGTGGACAAATCAGCATGATCATAAACTTCTGTGATCAATTTTTTTACTTAAATAAGTCACGAGAGTTAACAACACAATTTAAGGAAGGAATTTTACTTCACAATTTAAGATAGTCCGTTGGGGTGGGCGGTGATACATTTGGGTTGCCAGATGTCCCAGTGCTAAAGCTACATGGCTTGTGTGTGTGTGTGTCTGTGTTTACTTCTCTTCTACTGGCTGCATCCACCTCCCCTTCTCTTCTTCTGACATTTGGGATAGACAATTGTTAGTGCCATCCATTGTAAATGAGTGTTGTTGTATAATTTATCCATAAGGATGTTATCATTTCATAGCAACACATCAAAATTTATCAGAAACACATCAAAATTTACTCACTCTTATGCCGTTCCAAACCTGGATGACTTTCTTTTTCTGTGAAACACAAAAGAAGACATTTTTAAAAAAAATGTCTCAGTGGATTTTTGTCCATAAAATCAAAATGGGTCCTAATGTTGTTTGGACCCCATTGTTCTTTTAAAATACCTTCTTTTGTGTTCTGCAAAAGAGAGAAATGCATACAGGTTTACAATGACATGAGGCTGCGTAAACTACGACAGGATTTTGGGTGAGCTGTCCCTTTAATAGAACAATGACGCTGTTTATGTGGAATAAAAAAAACAAAGAAACCATCACCCCATGTTTTGCCATTCCCCACCGAGAAAGCATGGCTATGTTATTAAGATAAGCATTCTAAAACCCACAGGGGGTGAGGGGGGGAAATCTGGGACATCAAATAATACTACAATATCAAAAGCCTTGCAAATATGTTTCATGGGAAAAAAAATTCCATCAATATGAATGCTAACAGTTGAATCTTAAGTTTTTGGTTTAGAAAGAGCTTTTTTTGTGAACAGATTTTGCCCACCTGCCACTGAAACACTCCACCCAAATCCTTCCTGATCCCCACAAACACCAGAGAAAGAGAGATGGAGAGGGAGGGAGGGCGAGAGAAAGACTTGTGAGGATAAAATTAATAGGGTATATACTCCAACTATTTGTCATTGTGATACATCCTGCATTTTGATATCGTCTAAAGCAGTGCACAGTTTTAAAGTGACTTTCCAGCACTATGCCTCGTCTTAATCATTTCAGCTACAGCTATGGTTGGAATTTCACTTTGGCTTTAAGCCTGGTGTTCAGAATTAACAACACCGGTATACGTTACCATTTCCAGATTCCAAACAAGTCCCAAGACCCAATATAGCTTCCTTGTCATAAGTGACCCAATTGTACAGTATACTCTACAAAGACAAGACACACAAAAAGTGCTAAACTTGGGAGATTCGACCCTAATAACTAATTTCAGAATTATCATGTTGCTGAGATATATGGCACGAATACTCTAATAAGCATAAAAATACATAGTTAAAACTTGTTGCGCTGATGCCTTACAAGTACACTTGGTTTTGAAATAGAGCACTAGAGAGTATGTAATACATCCAAATAAAATAAAATCTCTCTGGAAGAGTTTTTCTTTCTCTTTGTGACTTTTTCTTTAACACACGCAGTGAGAGAATTATATTTGGTTCTAACTGCAACACAATAACCAAAAAGAAAAACAACATGGATCTGTACAGTTACATCACAACATAAAAATCAAGGAGAGCAGTATCATGGCAACAGTGTCTTTTTAGTTATCCTTCTGCAGAACTTTAAAGAACAAAAGAGAGAAAGACCGGGAGACAGAAACAAAGGAAAAGAGAGAGAATTTTCATAAATCCTTTGTGCCCGAGAGACTGCGACTAATCTAATACAAAACCCTGTGGGATGTTTGGCTTCAACAAGCGTCTCTGCCTATCTGGGAATACATGTGTAAGCAATTTTATACATGACTACTAATACAAGAGCTCTTTGAGGGAAACAGATTCATAAAAAAAGGATATGGAGTGATTAAAAGCAGAATGCGATGAAATGAAACATTACTTCGACTAATTTACTCTTTCTTGTTGAGCTGGGAGTTCTTAATGTGGTATTACTGTCTGCATATACACTTACCTAAAGGATTATTAGGAACACCTGTTCAATTTCTCATTAATGGATTTATCTAATCAATCAAATCACATGGCAGTTGCTTCAATGCATTTAGGGGTGTGGTCCTGGTCAAGACAATCTCCTGAACTCCAAACTGAATGTCAGAATGGGAAAGAAAGGTGATTTAAGACATTTTGAGCGTGGCATGGTTCTTGGTGCCAGACCCCACCGGGTACCACTCATCTCCACTACAAATAGGAAAAAGAGGCAACAATTTGCAAGAGCTCACCAAAATTTGTTGAAGACTGGAAAAATGTTGCCTGGTCTGATGAGTCTCGATTTCTGTTGAGACATTCAGATGGTAGAGTCAGAATTTGGTGTAAACAGAATGAGAACATGGATCCATCATGCCTTGTTACCACTGTGCAGGCTGGTGGTGGTGGTGTAATGGTGTGGGGGATGTTTTCCTGGCACACTTAAGGGCACTTAGTGTCAATTGGGCATCGTTTAAATGCCATGGCCTACCTGAGCATTGTTTCTGACCATGTCCATCCCTTTATGGCCACCATGTACCCATCCTCTGATGGTCACCAGTCACCAGATCTCAACTCAGTAGTCCATATGGGGGTTAATT